TAATACTATAATACACAATAACATCATACTTAATTATAACATTTAATTAAAGGATTAAGAATCATATTGATGTAAACGTCTGATAATTACATAATATAATTTGAAAAAAGATTAATTCTGTCGATGTTTATACAAGAAATAATTTGGATATCTCTGTAATTCTTAGTTTTATAAGAAAGAATTTTAACAGTGGGTATATATAGAAATTGCTACGTGATAAAAATTGTAAAATGAACGTTTACGAACGAACGAAGATATTGAATGTGTGGACAAAAAAAGTAAGAAGAAGAAGGAAAAAAATCAATATATGAAAGTAAGAAGTCCATTTGCCTAACTCGAAATTATTACTGAACATATAAATCTGCATTGGAATGATATATTTTCTTCAAGAAGGTCGTTATTTTCTTCCATTATCTTATTCTTTTTTTTTATAAACGGTTTATTTACTGCACTTCATTCATTTCCAGTACACGTTTATGACAACAGTATGGTTTTACACTTTAAAAAATTTACAAAGATCTCTCGAGAACTACCTCATTTATAAAGTTTAGTATAACTGAAATGGGTGTAATTCTCTCTCTCTCTCTCTCTCTTCTTCTTCTTCTTCTTCTTCTTTATTATTATTCTTATCGCAGGGAGCTTTGTTTTAAATATTTTGACTTTTATTTCCAAGCTTTTTTTGTAGATGAAAGCGAAGAAAAATCGATAAAATCCCAAATGCAAAACCGAATCTTCAAAAAAAGTTTGACGTTTTATGGCAATTTTTCATTTCCGCTCAAAAATCTTGCTTATTTCAGGTAATCTGTAAGATTATAGATGACAAGATTTATCAATTCCTTTCTTCTTCTTGCAAAGTAAGGGATATTACAAGCGAGCGATATTACAAGTAACATATTTTACAACCATTCTTTACAGAATGTAAGCATAAGAATGCCTATATTCTATCAATCAGGTACAAGAATGCTGTAAATTTATGGTACAGTACATGGGCATTCTGATATGGTATATTTATCAATTGCAAGCTGGTTAAAAATGGAGAATATGCACTAAATTATTAAATCTATTATTAATTTTCCATTATCATTCAAGTTAGAATCGTGTTTATTTTATTTAAAATAAACTTTTAATGAATTAAATTCTTTTATTCCGTCTTGTTTTATTTTCTATAAATTATTATTATAATAGTAAAGAGTACAGTAGGCTATACTATTATTATGGTAAAGAATAGGCTATATATTGTATAATCTAGTACTATAGTCACACTGTAGTAGTGAAAAGTAAGCTGTATTATTATTCTTTATGCAGAAAAATGCTTAAAAATGGTTTATAATTAGATTTAATTATTAAAAATCCCAAGACACTGTGTAAGCTTGCTTAGTTTTATGTACAGTACTGTACTTGATTTGCCGTACGATAAATTAAACCTATCGCTACATAAAACATTTTTTTAATATATATTTATATATAAATTTAAACGTATAAAGTCTTGAATAATTTCTACGAAAACCATTTAGATCTATGGAACTTTTATGTACTGAATGGTTTTTACATTATGTAGAAGAATTGCATACACCTTATATGTAAAATAATTTTATTGAATTTATATGTTAAAATTTATAATTTTTACTACAATAAATTGCATAAATTACTTTAATACAGAGATGTTTTTGTTTATTGTAAGACAATTAAGTATATTATAAAAGAATGTAACATAATATTAAAATATTTTATAGAATTTATTTTAATAAAATTTTAGTTTATTTATATAAATGTTAACATATAAAATCTCAAATAAATTCAAAGAAAATCTTTTAGATATATGGAATTTTTATTATGTATAAAATGGTTTTTACATCATAATGATGTGAAAGAATCAAACAACCTGTTACTTCACAATTTCTCAATCGGATGACCTCCTCCTCTTTTGGCATTTATCCAATATTTTGTTTCTACAAACAATTTACACCAAACAATTTTGACGATTGTTTTATTCTTTAGCATATCATTCCATAAATTTCATCGTTATGAAACATTACTTAAAAAAAAAGAAAATTAAATTTATCCTGGTAAGTTAGATGAATTTTTGCACTGTAATAACGATTGTTACTATAACATTAACAGATGTTTTTATTCACATTCTATAAAAAATATATTTATGAAAATGTAGCACATGTATCAGCTATTATTATAAAAGAATATATTAGTGACTATATAAAGTAGATATATTATGCCTTATCATTTGTTGTTGTGGAATCTGTATGTATTATACTATTATTATCTGTATATTATTATATAACAACTAATACATTTCTGTATATAACTACTGTATAAATAATTATATAGAGAAATCCGTTACTCGTTATAGAAGCTATAGAATTAGTTATTATAGAACCTGTCTGCTACAACTTCTACAATAACTAATAGCCTACATTCTTTCATTGTAACTAATATCTTTATAACGAAGTAAAACATACCTATAATAATGCTAGAAAATTATTATAGATATTCTATATAGAAAAATGATTATATACAATACATTTATTCTAATTTATTCTTCTATTATAACTAATTCACTAATAGGTTCTATAATAAGCCAGAGCATATCTATAATAATTCTTCTATTCTAACTGTATAGAAGAATTATCATAGGTATATTATTTATTACAGAACAATGGATCTGTTTATTCTTCGATACAATGCATTCTGCAATGTAATCTACAGCGTGTGTTAAGGAAAATAACATATAATGTATTCTTGATGAGTTATTTCTTCTAAAATATTACACAAATATATATATTAAATTTTATGAAATTTTATATATTTATATATTGTTGATTTTTGTATTCGAATTTATAAAAAATATATTTTATAAAATACGAAAAAATTATACTAAAAGTAAGAAATTCTCTTCAAATATTGTCGAAATGTGAAACTATTTAAATCAAAATTCAAATTTTATTACGGATCGATTTACTAGATNGTGTATTTAATAATTAATTTAATTTTGTTATGATAAAATGGAATATTTCGTGCTCGCAATGCGTAATAGTCCATACCAGGAAGGACTATTAGTACTTCCCTCATGAAAGGAATAGAAATGGAAGGAAAGTTAGTGAATGTAGAGGTAGACTATCGTCGATAGAGAAATGACTCAAATTATTGCATAAGATTTTCGGTATTTTGTCGGGATTTAAAAGAATTATTGCAAGAATAAGCATAGATTTATGTAAAGCTGCAATATTACTCAATAACATATTCATAGAAATATAGGTGACATTTTGTATTTTTTTTTAAAATGTATAGTCTAGGATTTTCTTTCTTTTAAGATTTATTAACAGTATAATATATGAGGAATACATTAGTTATCTAAATTATTCCTTTCAAGTAATAAATTACTAGTAACTAAGACTACGAGAATACGAGTCAGTTACAAATGTGAGTTCTATCATCTCAGAAAGCTCAAAAATATACAAATAAAACTAAAAAAGAAAAAAAATTTTAATATTACATTATCATACCACGTTTTTGTTTATATTTTATAGGAAAGATTAAATTTTAAGATCTTTCTATGTCTAGTACTCGAGCCAAATCACAATATTAAACCATCTCTATCTGGACCTGAATATTCTAGTTTAGGGATGGCGAACCTATAGCACGCGTGCCCAAAGTGGCACGTCGGAAAAAATTATCTGGCACGCAACATATCATACGATTTTTTTATTTTTTAAAATTTATCCTAACTAAATATAAAATCGTAATAAAAAATTGAAATTATCATCTTTTTCTCGACCAAGCTGATCGAGAATATTCTGTGAACTTTACATTTATTATATTTAAAGATTATTTGTTTGATTTCTTTAAAAAAATCGTTATTTGAAGTTTAAAACTTCTGAGCACATAAACATTTTTAAAGATAACGTGCAATTATTTATTGTGACATTGTAACAATGCCGGGCTGCAATTTTTAATCATATTTTTTTATTTATTTAATTTAAAATATATGCTCTCCACCTCAAATTAACACTGTAATGTCTTGCCCCTGTACATCATACTTTTCCTGTTAGCAAAAGAGTCGTGCCGGTCATCTTTCTAACACCTTTCGGGGGAAAATTTTTGAATCGAAATAAAATGACTTTCGATTTGTATCGGAAGTTCTTATATAGTTAATCTGGCCTCCTGCCCCTAAGGTTTCCATATCTGGTCTCATCTTTTATCTATCCGACTTCGTTTGAGATTAAGGAAAGACAGACGGACAAACGACAGTGGGAATTTATAAGTCTACAATTTTATTAAATTGCAGCACAGTTATGCTATAAGGCATACGAACTGAAAAATGTTGGCCGTCACATGAAAGGTTGAATTAATAAAATTACTAATAACTTTTATATTATCATGCATATTTTATATTTATTGTTTTGTACATGTTTAAGTGAGTATGAAAGTATTATAAAGTTAACAGAATGTAATGTTGTATTTTTAAAAAAGGAAATAACTTCAGTATAAAGAAAATTTCATATAGAGATGAAAAATGGTTTACTTGTCACAAATAATGAAAAACTTCTAATTAATAAGTAAATTATGATAATAATACTGTAAAGAATTGTGAATATTAAAAAAAATCATTTATAACTATGGGTTTCGTTGATATTACGCTATATTTTGAATTTTTTAACTTATACCACGTATGTATATTTATCGATTTAAAAATCTAAAAATTGTTAGAAATATTTTATTTATTTTTTATTTTTATAGCTATAAAATATTATGGAATAAATTTTCAATTCATGAAAAACATGTTTTATCTATAGTTAATAATACAGTATGGTCCAAAAATCAGTTAACCAGTTAATCTTCGATGTATCTCACGAACAATTTGTGAACACGAACCAAAACTGAGTGAGCAATATATATATTTTTACAAAGTTAGTAATAAAAGTAAATTTAAATAAGACATCAATTTAGTCTTTACGGTGGTTAACTGACTTTTGAGCTACCCTGTATGCCAAATATGATAATTTTATTCATTATTAAATCATTAAGAAGCTATTATTATCTTCGAATCATTACGGTATCATTAGGTAGAATATCTGGCGAATTTTGGATATTTCTTATTTATAATCCTGACACGTGCTCATGAAATATAGGCTTTTCTAACGAATTGTAGAGAGAATTTTACGAAGAATCTAAATAGAAGTAAGAGAAAATAATTTATGGAGAGGTCTAAATTATATTTTTCAGAAATTTCTGATCAGTAAACCGACATTTTTCTAAACCATTCTAATGTAAAATATCCAAATTTTAACGTGAAATATACTAGAATTCTTTAAATAAGGTTTTCCTTTCTTTATTAAAGCTGTTACTAGCTTTCCTAGTTGATAATTTCCTTCTAGGTGCATCAGAAAATTATATCACAATCGAGGAAGATTCATAAATTAGTTACTGAAAGTGTATATAATGATCCAGGAATAGATGGAAATTAGTTACTGAAATGATACAATAATCTAGGAATAGTAGGAAATTAGTTATCAATATTATACAGTGATCCAGGAATAGTCGGAAATTACCTACAGGAATTTATAATAATTCAGGAATAGTGGAAAATTAACTGCATAAATTGAATGGTGATCTAAGAATAGTGGAAAATTAGATACAGCTATATTAATTCATGAATAAATGGAAATTACAGATACTTTATAATATCTAAGAATATTCAAAATTAATTAGAGATTGTTAAGAATAATCAGGATTAGTTGATCGTTTCTCAACCGGTAAATCACGTTCTACTGGTTGAAAAACTGGAAATAACCACGAAAAAAGTAAGCGTATCTTTGATATTTAATTAATAAAGAATATGTTTTTAAAAATGTTTAGTACCATTTCATATACAATATTTATAAAGATATGAATTGGCTGATTAAAAATTAATTAAATATACGAAAGTATAACTTTATCTATTTCGAGTATGAAAGATTTATGATACTTCTTATCGAAAAAATGAAAATAAAAAGTTTATATATTTATTTTTTGAAGATAAAATAACCAAAAAGGATGAAAAATAACAACGTTATATCTAATCCTAAGTTTAATGTAAATTAAGTATTAAGAATAAATAAATTTCTCATGATATTAGGAAAATTTATAGAAAACAAATTACAAAAAATTGCAATATTTTAAGTAAATTTTACTTTTAGAAATTCAAATCCACATTTCCAACTGGTAGATCGCGATCACGTTAATAATTTAACTGCATTTTTAAATATATCACAGTTTTTCGATAAGTCAGAAGGTTGAAAAGTGCTGAAACAGAATTGACATTATTGTCTCTAAAAATCTCATATTTTTCTAATTAAAAATATATATTTTTTAATAATTATTTTAGACAAAAATATAACTAAAACTCTTTAAAATAAATGACAAGAAATCTAAATAAATATTTATTTATTAAAACATTTTATTGAATAAATGAAAATCATAATACCCAACTGATAGATCGCGATCATCATATTTAATAGTTTACTTCCTTTCTAAGTATATCACAATCCGTCAATGCATTAGAAGATTGAGAAATTTTGCAGTAAACAATTATCGATTGATATTATTACGTCAGAAAATGTGTTACATTTTAATTAAAAATAAAATGTAATTAATTTCAATTTTTTTTACACATTTGCATATTTTAAATTAGAAAAGATAAAAATAAATCTGAATTATCTTATCGATTTTACGTATTTAAATTCTTGGAGCGTGTAAGAACGATTCTGTAACTAAATTAGTATCAAAGAAAATGAAAGTTCATATCATGTAATTAGTTCTTTGCGCTGTTTTTTCTAACATTTAAGAGTTCAAGATGATTAATTTATGAAAATTTGAATTATTGTTAACTTAATTAACGATTGAAATTTAGATATCAGTTTTTCACAATGTTAGATCGCGATCCTCTAGTTGAGAAATTTATTTCCAAACGGAAAGGTGCGAAGTATAACTTCTGTTGATAAATATTTTCAGTTCTTAGTATTTCTTTGGTAATAATTTCAAAGAATATTTCATATTTATAAAAATATAACCTGATTAATATAGTTTATTTAATTTTATGAATTTTTAAATTAATTTAGGAAAATTCAGAAATTCTGATTAAGGTTATAATTTTCATTCTATAATGAAAATTATAGAATGAAAATTATTTGTTAATTTTCATTCTATAATGAAAATTATAACAATTTTAATCTTAATCCAAATTAGACTCAGTTGAAAAAATGAAAGTCTCACCAATAATCGAGTGCATAAAACCATTGAATATTGCTAGTTGGTCTGGGTTCGCGCCTCATCGACAGCCTGGTAATATGGAGTTTCCCGGGTTTTCTTCATGTATCTACCACCTAAATATGGACTGGTTTACATATAAACGCCTAAATATGGGCCAGTTTCCATAGAAAGTCTCCGGGAGGTTTCTCCCCCTTGGCAGATCAGCCTTATGTTGCATTGTCGTATTCCATCAAACCAAACAAAATCAACCCGAAAGAAAGGAAATTTTGAGAAAAAATTTTTTAAGTTCTTCTTTAAATTAAAACTTGATATATATACATTTATTTTGTATATTACACATTTAAAATCCATAAAACAGTAAATGAATTGTTATAATAATTTTATTTAAATATTAATATCAGGGAGAAATATTTGAATTCCCCATTGAAATCTTCCATTTTTCAATCGAGTTCAATTGAGGTATATGAATAAAAATTTATATTTTTATTCATATACCTCAATTGAGTATATTTTTTGTTCACATTTCGAATAAATTATTTGTTTCGTATCTGTAACTCGTTTTTTCCTTCTTACAATTTTTTTTTCCAGAATTCTCAACTTCATCTTATTTCTTTTTTTATTTTTATTTTTAGTTTTATTTGGTTCGGATTGTTGTTTATTTCCTTTTTTTACAAGATACATTTATATTTTTTTCTTTTTCTTTACTCAACTTCTCACTCCTAACAGGAATTTTCCTTTAAATTTTTTTTACGTGAACAGTTTCCATTTATTTTCTTTTGTTAAAGCTATATTTTATATTTTTAAATCTATAAAATAGTAGTATATTATGTTAAATATCTAATGAGTAAAAGTAAGGTAAAATTCTGTAAATTGTCATACCATGAAATCATGAAAGACTGCATTCTTTACTGATTTTAATTTATAAATCATTCCATACTTAAAAATGGTTATTCTATATGATTTTATATAACTTTTAAGATTATTCTGTAAAATAAAATGTATAAAACAGAAAATAATGTAAATTCTTTATAAAAATTCAAGAGGAGTCATTTTTATTTTTATCTCAACAAAATTGTATCTTTCTTTGTAATATATTTAAAAACTTGCAAATTAAAATTAAAAAAAAAATTATATATATTTATACATAAATTGGTTTTCTTGTCAAGTTTTCTAACACTTTTTTTAGATAAATTTGTACATTATCTTCAACATTCTTATAAGAAATCGTGTTTAGAAGCTAAATATCTTTTCCTTCCCATAAATATAACGCCTTTGCTTCTATTCTTACTTCTCCATTTCGTTCAATGGTGCAGACAAGATTTAGACATTTTCGATGAGGTTCTTTTCAGTTCAGCTATATCGAATTGAACAGGGTTTTTTATCGTGGTATACACGTACTTTTATATTTTTCTAGTTTCCTATTGCAGTTTTATATTATTTATAAGCACATATTAAAAATATTTCGTAATTTATGATTAAGTTTTATATGGAGAAAATAAAATAATTTATCAATTAATTTTAAAATAATGTTAAATATTCAAAAATCTAAAGCGAAATCATTAATATTAAAGTTTGAGTGTTCAATATAAATTTATATTTATAATTAAATAAAATATAATATTAATGAGTGTTTTAGAATATATTTTAATATATATGATGAAATAACGAAATTAAAGAGTAATTAATTTTGAAAAATGGTAACATAACTGCTTATTATATCTTAATTTTCGAATCTTAGCTGCTAATTTATTATTCTTCTTCTCCTCCTTTTCCTCATCCCTCTTCTCCTTCCTTCAGCTTATCTCATAAATGGAGGTTGCTATTTTATTAAAAAACAGCAACCTCCTTCATTTTGTCCTATCGCTCACCTATTCCTTTAACTTTTATTTTTCTGCATTAGCTTCCTCCATTTAATCATTCCTTTATTTTCTGCAAACTTCCATTTTCATGTTACCCCCTACTGACATAAATATTAACTGCTAATTAATATATGTTATTTATTAACATCACATTCTTAGATTTCAGAAATTTAATTATAATAAAGTTAGCATTAAAAATTATAAATTAAAATGTGAGATTTTTTAATTATTTAGTGATACGTCTTGTAAAAGTATTATAATNTTATATTTATAAATAATTATTTTTTTGATGATGATGATGATGATGTTTTAACGTCATCTTCTATGTCTGATGTAACGTAATTATCTTGGCTTTAGTATTGTTAGTCTTTTCAGCGAATGGTCACGTTTACTGTACCTTATACAGAATTAATTATGAGTTAAGTTAATGATGGATGAAAATCTAAAGATAGATTATAATTTTTCATCGTTATTAACTATTAATCTTCATCGTAATGATCTTTATTAATAATTTTAGAGCAATATTTAGAACAGGTTTAAATGAAACTAAAAATAAGTTTTCTCTAATGATAATTAATGTAATTTTGTTTACATCATTTATTGTACTATAAAAATCTTATAAAATATACTGTAATTAATAGTAAATCTGTTTGTTTATCCTTAAATTTTTTACTTAATTATCACTTTTAACGATGTTTAGTTATTAATATACGACATATTAAATAAACAAAATTAATATTTTAGGTTATTTTTTTAATGTAATTTAGTGTTAGTATCGACAATATAATTACTATATAACTAATGTAGAGTAAACCAGAAAATTTTCCTTTCTGGTTTTCTTCTTGCTTGGTTATTATATTGCCAATCAAATTTTGTATTATAACAGAAAAACTTCACCAGAAAATGCTGCAAAGAATATTGTATTTCTGTGAATAGTGCCATTGTCACATAATAACGACACAGTATATTCTATTATTAAATATAATAATGAAAAGTACCGTGTATATTATTACATACGCGCAACTTTTCTTTGTTGTATTATACTATTATATAGCAATAAAATATTGGCTATAATCATAAATTATTATTATAATAGTAAAGAGTACAGTAGGCTATACTATTATTATGGTAAAGAATAGGCTATATATTGTATAATCTAGTACTATAGTCACACTGTAGTAGTGAAAAGTAAGCTGTATTATTATTCTTTATGCAGAAAAATGCTTAAAAATGGTTTATAATTAGATNAAAGAAAAATAAATAAGAAAAATTTTTCAAAAAGTATTTTAAATCGAGCAACTTAAAAAACAGTTTCAACAGCATCACTCAAGTCATGTTTCAATCATGTTACTGAGTAGAGAATATGATATGCCATACATTATTTATAGAGAAGGGCATTTTGTTGTGGCTGAAGAGTTCAGTTAAAAAGATATTTCCTTAATCTAGCAGCTATTTTTCTGTATCTAGCAAATGATATATTGCCAAGATCTTTCTAGCTGATTATAAATAGTCACAAAAAAGTAGTTGTTTGAACATCTTTAATTGAGTTGTACTGTACGATCTTGGTAAAAAAAAACTTTTTCGACAAAATTAAAGTAACATTCAAAATTTTATGAAGTTTCTTATAGGAAATACCACTAAAGAATTTTAACAGTTTATTTAATTTTATGAATTTTTAAATTAATTTAGGAAAATTCAGAAATTCTGATTAAGGTTATAATTTTCATTCTATAATGAAAATTATAACAATTTTAATCTTAATCCAAATTAGACTCAGTTGAAAAAATGAAAGTCTCACCAATAATCGAGTAAAAGTAGATTATTATACAGAAAGGGAACGTAAGTTGCATCATTACATTAGTAAAAATTAGATTATATAATATTATGTAGTAATGAAAAGTTTTTTAGTTAGAAAAAATAGGATTATTCTTATTAAAAAGTAATCAAACTTCAGTAAATATAAATAATCTTATAACTTAATCTGATCAAAAAAAGGATTACATCAAAAATAAGCAGTGCTATTACTGTTTATTGAGAAAAAGTAGAATTTTCAATTATTATATAGAAAGGAAACATAGTAAATATAAATAATCCTTTAGCTTAATATATTACAAAAGGATAATTACATGTTAGTAAAGTTAATACTATAATACACAATAACATCATACTTAATTATAACATTTAATTAAAGGATTAAGAATCATATTGATGTAAACGTCTGATAATTACATAATATAATTTGAAAAAAGATTAATTCTGTCGATGTTTATACAAGAAATAATTTGGATATCTCTGTAATTCTTAGTTTTATAAGAAAGAATTTTAACAGTGGGTATATATAGAAATTGCTACGTGATAAAAATTGTAAAATGAACGTTTACGAACGAACGAAGATATTGAATGTGTGGACAAAAAAAGTAAGAAGAAGAAGGAAAAAAATCAATATATGAAAGTAAGAAGTCCATTTGCCTAA